AAATTTAGGCGTAGGCGTTTTATACGTTAAAACTAGCAAAAAAAAAAAAAAAAAAAGAGAAACGCTCAAACACACGTTTGTTTATCTTTAACGAGGAGCTCATTTGCCCAATCACAAATTTCCAGCTTCTGTGGATATGGAGATACGGAGATACCCTTTCAGAAAACAACCTACCCTTTTTCATCTCTGCGAAGGTTGGGTTTCGAAAAACGCCTGTTTGTCTATTTTCAATGAGAAGCCCATATGTCGAATTTCGCGTCTCGAATTTTAGCAAAACGTGGAACACGAATATCCTTTAGAAAAAACGGATTCGTTCTTCAGGATTCGTATTTCCAAAATACCTTTCTTATCTGATATTTCGCGCTATAAAACAGGTATACTGTTACGTTCCGAGGCTTACTAAAGGTCGTGTTTTTAACCGTCGCCCTTGGTCCTTCAATGTCGTAGACAGATCGTCTTACATGACCGCTGAGATATACACAATGTGGCGATAAGCGTATAGTTGTTGCCAAGCAGCGAATTCAAAAAAACATCGATTCGCCCTCGATCCGTTATTTTACCAACGCAAAAAAGGTGGCTTAGTGATCATAGGTCGTGAGACTTGAGCGTGGTGGGGGTCGTCTCCAAGAGAAAACAAAGGAAAAAATCGAAGAGCAATGAGTATTTTACGAGAAGTCAAACCGAATGCATCGGGAAGTTCAGAGAAATAAAATCAAGGTCGCTTAGTCAAACGAATACGTCGAGAAATACTATAAAGTCGAGTCGAATTATGATAACAAACTAGTTATATCATCGTTCAATCATTTGTAACGTGTTAATTGTAATTTTAAATATTGTTAAAAATAGAAGCTTATGTTAATCCTGTTAATTCAGTGTTACAATCGTTTGAACTACCTCTGTTATTCTAATCGAAACAGAGCAACGACAGATTTGCGGCGTCGACTATCAAAATCGTAGCAAGAATTAAAGCCTCTCGTTGACGCGTTTCTTCGTGATCGCGTCTCTCCGCGAATGGTCGTAACACTGTCCAAGTTCTGCGTTTCTAGGTATAGCAGTTGGGTTGCACGTTGGTGAGCGAATCAGTCATTTTTACAATTTATATACAGGGTGGTTGGTGGTACAAGCGGAAAGGGAATGATTCTACGCGAAAAAAGAAGTCGAAAATATAGAATAAAAACTTTTTTTTTCATTTTTCCATCGTTAAACGTTCCACACACCCAGAAGTCGAAAATGTAGAATAAAAATTTAAAAATTTAAAAATTTAAAAATTTGAAAATTTAAAAATTCAAGAATTTAAAAATTTAAAAATTTAAAAATTTAAAATTTTACAAATTTAAAAAGTAACGTCAATCGAGACAACGATCTACAGTGAGATCCGTTATAACGTACCGCACGCGTACCGAGCGAAAATTCAAAGTCGATTTTCTCGAAAACAAAGCCTCAAGTGAAAAATTTTTATTGTATATTTTCGACTTCTTTTTTCACGTAGAATCACCCCCTTTCCGCTTGTACCACTAGTAACCACCCTGTATATGTATAGATAAGAAAAGGTGTCTATAGCGTGTTTTAAAATGCATTCAAGATATAATTTTATTCAGCTATCGAAATTATCAAATTTGTCTTTTTATTAAATTTGATTATGGGGTCCTCTTGAGATATATTTGCATTAAAAATATTAATTTCTCAACTCTTCCTAAAATACTATCTATTTCGAAAGAATTGATTATATTTTAGATACTAGGTACGTGGTTACTTTGCTCAGCATAAGCTTAAGCTGGCTGTATTCTAGTTAAAAATGACAATCATGACAACCGTGTCTCACTATCGTGTTGATGAAATTTCAAAAATGCTTCGTATAACATACAATGCTATTTGTATAAACGTTTTTTCTTGTTTCGACATATAAAACTTACACTCAAATTTTGATTCAATCATTTTGAAAGATCCTGCGTAATTCTGTTTCTAAATTTTCCTACGACTCATTAGACTCGACAGAAGTTAAAAACAAGCAAGTTTGCTGGCTATTTGTAATTTAATTGACTGTCATAAAAACGATATTAAGGACAGTAGCCGGAGAACAATTGTAGCGTTTTATCTTTTAATAACGAATACAAAACCAAGTATCACGGCCAGCGTTCGGAGAGATGCGACTCACGTACAATATTAAAGGAAAGTTTCGGATGCACGAGCATATTCTTTTGCCAGTTTAATTATTTTCATTCTGATCAATACTACATTCACAATTGCGCAGACGTTGGTATAAGGGAGTTTTCGAATTCGTTTTCCTCCAAGAGCCGCATGTGTTTACACTTTCTTTAGAAAATGGTTCAACATCGTCGACTGGAAATTCTGCTTAATTACGAGCCTGAATTTTCAAGTGGAATTCTTCTCAAAACTTCATATTCTGAAAACTACGGCCGCATAGTAGCACCTGTAAATATTTTACTTCGTTTAACGTAGCTTTTGATCATTTTCCTCGTATCCGAACACCGAAAATCCAACGAATAGTTCCGTTAAAAGTTCAAACGGCAAATTGCCATTTTTCATTTCCAACGAATTTGTCATAACGAAAATTCATTCGTGTGGAAAAATAGCAGCTTTCTTCGTTGATCCAGTTGAACGCTCTTTTCCGAGTAATTCGCCACTTTCGCCAATGCTTCGTCATTCTTATGCGCTCGTACACCTTTGCTTATTACGATACTTTCTCCGATTATTTAGCTGTGGGTGTTTCGTTTTGTCAAATATCAAATACATTCTTCACATACTACGAATACATAACTATGAAGCTTGCTTGTGTCCAACGAATGAAGTATCGTTGCTATTAACTTATCACTTTGCTAAACGCGTGTAGAACAAGCTGCGAACTATGCGTTCCTCCATAATCAGGAATTACTCAAACACGCGCATATATATCTGACAAGTTTACAAACTCGATTTTCTCGGAAGCCCTAAAAGCCATAGAATTCGCCTGACTTCAATTATGCCAGGAATTTACGACCACGGTGTACATTTCCTTCTTTCAACCATAATTCGCGTATCTACTTGCTAAAACCGTGACGACAAAAATTAGCCTACGCGAGGATCCAGTTCTCGAGTCGAATTTAACGAGCACAGCTTTATTTGCATTAATCCTGTGTACACGACGCGTTTGATAATCGAATTGCTGGCAAAGTAACGCAAAGGGGGAAGAAAGGTGCGTTCCCAACGGTGGGTGGCTGCACTCGTACACACACACACAATCGCATTCGCGTCGTATGCGTACACATCGAGAGACGAAAGAAGCTCGTGTGGATGAGTCACGATGTTGTATCGGTAGTCTAGCGACATTTCACGCGAAACTTGCACTCGAACGAACAGTTTCCCACTCGACACCGAGAGCACGGCGAATACTGTCTTCGCTCGTTGAAATTACAAACGCGACGACGGCCTGTCCTCTGTCGTTACGATCTTCGTGACCAGTTCGTGCCACCTAGACACGTTGTGAAGTGGAACTTCGCGACGTGAACATCCGCGAGACGAAGCAAACCTGCCGAGTTACAAATAACGAAAAGTATTCTGTCTCACTCCCCTCTGTCTGCCAGACTTCGCTGTCTGTATTTCTCCCTCGACTGCTTCCATCCAACTTTTACATGCATTGGATGGAGAAACAAACGAACGAGAGAAATAGCACGAAGGCCGACCCTTTTATACCGACGAGCGTACGAGTAAAGGGATACGAAGGGAAACGTTGATTGCTAGGAATGAAAACCGACCGGATTTCTCAGTGATTATAAAGCCAGCACGATAGGTTGCTGGGCTATGATAATGTTATTCCGCAGTCATTTTTATTTCGATGTATATTGTGCCTTTCAGCATTGTTGTGGCAATAAAGTAGAGTAGAGACGAGGGTGGCTTTTTGTCAAGTACTCGTTTTACGATGGTTTAATTAACTTCTCGATGTAACGTGTTCTTGGTACGACGCAGCATTTCTTCGCGGAATTTCAGTCGCTTTAAATGAATTTAATCAGTAAGAGATTTGGCAAGAAGTTGCATTAGCCTGTAAATGAATTATCGTATTATTTATTCGTTTGAAAATTGGAAACACCAGTACATAGTTTATCTTATTGGAAATGTATGGTTTTGCGACAAGATTGTGGTGATCTCTGAAAGGAAGCGATGTATGGTACAAAAATATCAGAAGATTCACAAGGTTCCATAAGATCTCTAACAGGAAGATTAGTTTTGTCTACAATGACTCGACGTAATACAGTGGATGTTAGAGTAATCACATTATAAAGAGATATTAACCATTAGAAAGTTTAAACTTTCACAATAGTGTAAAAATTCGTAAATTGTTAAAACACGCGAAACATTCTTATTGCATTACTATCGGCCTTACGAAGAACAACCTACTGTTATCGTACTTAATTGATTAGCTTCAGCGATGAAATGAAAAATGATAAGAATCGCTACGTTTTGCATAACGAACTAAAACGCGCAATACGCATCAATTTTCGCTTGTCCTGTTTGTTCGAAAGGCTGCATCGGTGCACACGATGCTCACGATAAAAAATCGAATTTGGGAAATGACACTAAGGGAAGGGGTGAGCGAATGAGACACAGGGGTGAACGAATGAGACACAGGGGTGAGCTGCTAATGTCGCGGAAACGCGGCGATTCTTTGACACGGACGCCTCGTTGCATATCCTACGCACGTTACTTACGCGAGCTCGTGACGATACACAGGTTAAACGCTTTCTTGAAAATGCTCGTCCGTGACTCTAGCGCAGTTTCCGGAAGCGTGATTGCGAATTTATCGCAAGTGATCTTGAAATTTAGTCGGAAAGGGTAGTTGGGTCTATTGTTTAAAATTATCGCTTCAAACGGTCGTTTCTAGCAGTTTTATTTTAGAAATAAGTTAGAAGTGAGAGAAAATTTGTTGCGACGAATGTGTAACGAATAAATGTCCAATGTTGGTGGTTACGCTTTAGATCTTTCTGAAGATTTCTTCTTTCGGAAGAAAGACCGGATAGAGTAGAAAGAAAATATGCGAAATGGATATTAGGCTTAGATATGACAACACCAAATTATATATTGATAGAAGAATGCAAGATAATAGAAATAAAAAAAAAGCATTAAAAAGAGCAGCAAGGTATGAAGAGAAAGCCCTAGAATCAAAAAAGGAATTAGTAAAGGAGTGCATAAAGGAAAGAGAGAGAAACTGGGGAAATGGCCATGAAGGGAAAAGAGCAAGAAAGAGAAATAAGAGACTAGAAGAGATGAGAAAGGGAGGGACGCAGATAGAAGCAGGAGAGGAGCAAGAAAGGATGACAGCAGACCAAATTATAGAAGAAAGAAGAAAGAGAGAAGCAGAAGAGAGGGGAAAATGATAAGGGAATCCAAATATAATATACACTACAGAAATATAGCTAAAGAAAAAGTTACCAAAATACTTAGAAGGGAGGATGAAGTGGAAGGACAGAAGAATACTGACAAGATTCAGATGTGGAAACGAAACCAAAGCAAGGGAATACTGGAAAGAAGAGGGAGAAAAAAATGCAGACTATGTAGAAGGAAAGAAGAAGACCTGAGACATGTAATAGGAGAATGTGAAATAATGGAAGGACCAAAGGACATAGGAAAAATGCTAAATGAGGCTGGAGAAGGTTTAACAGAACTGAAAGCAATAGTAGAGAAGAGTAGGGCAAACGACAGGAAGGATGCACAGCAAGGAGACTAAAGACCAAAGTTGCAATAGTTTTTAGTCATTAGTTGTTAATTTGTAGTTTCTAGTTTTAGTTTTTAGAGATAGAATAATTAAGGGAGTGCAATAGAATAGAGTGGAAAAGAGAGGAGATAGACATATAAGAAGAGAAATAGACATAAGAGATGTAAAACCGAAAGTTCGTCCAAAGCCGAATAAATTACAACAGTGCACCTTCATACAAACGTGAAACCAAGTCTGTTAAATGTTGCGGTGTTTATCTCAACAGAATAAAATGGATCGTACGTAATTCGACAAAATAATATAAAACAAAAAACATTGTGCGTCTATTATTTCCTCATAAAACGAGAGAAATTTTCGAATAACATAATATTTTAGTGCAAGTATCCGTAATCTACTTATGGTCGGCAATATGCATCATGTATATCTATGGCGATAGTGTTGATGTTGCTAATAGAAGAACAGCCGAGTAACACCAGTAACCGACTCTATGTGTATGGGTGCTTATCCCACGAACTAAGTTAGTCGATTCCCTATGGTCACTCGCCTATCGATTGGTCGAAACTCTGAGCTTTCGTTGTTCCGCGCTGTGGCTAAGCCTCCTGCTCCACGGGGGTTCGTTTCTGGTTTCGCCAACATCGCACCACCCCCCATCACAAACTACGGATTGGTAACTAGTCGTTCTTCCACCGGTACCAGAGATTGTTCTATGGAAATGGAAATTGTTTTTGTTCCTTTCTGCGACTGTTCTTGGCGAGCTAATGTACAAACGTGTTAGTTGCAATTCTTTGTTTAGGAAGTGAAGTTTTAATCCGTTTCTCGAGTCGTTAAGAAATAGAACGAATTCGGTTCTTCTTGGATCCTATTTTCAGGATTAATAGTTCATTTTTTGACCATTAGCGTGTCAAAGTTTGCATGACTTAGATGGATTGGAAAGTTAGGATGATTTAGTTTTCGTGGTTTTCACCGATTTTTCGTGTCAAGGGAGCACACGAGGTTTTAAAGACTCTCAGCACGTAGAATTCGACAAAGTTCTGATAGATTTGTAGCTCATAGACCAGAGTCTCGCGGAATAATATCGCCACGGAATTTTAAATAGAGTTACAACAGTTACGCATACAGCTGAGAAGAATAGTAATATCGTTATGCACTTACATTTGTTACAAGATATCATCGTAGACTGTATGATTGCGATTAATATGATAATTAGACACGATGGATGTTGGATCGTATGATATTTTATACCACATGTAATACAAATACTCGGACCAGTTCTCGTCAAGTATTCTCTCCATTCTTGCACAAGGGTTGCAAATAACAAATTAAACAAAATTACTCCTAACTCAATTGTTCGCAAAAACTCACGTATTTCCTGATTATACCACCTCTTCGAATCGTCATGCATTCCACTACGTAGACCCGAACGTAAGAAGACCGCTCTCTGCATTTCCCTTTTCGAACGTTGTCGCTGTTTACGTAAACAATTGGAAGAAACCATAAGGAAAGGCCAGGATACAGAAAGAAATAAACGAAATAGAGTATTACTTATTTGGGACGAAAACGCGGTTTAACGCGTACAATGGCTGTTCCTTTCAAAATGCAGCTGGAAGTTCGAGTACAGCGTTTCCAGAGAAACATTCTCCGGTGGATGGATCGCGGAAACGTGAACATTTGTTTTTCACGATAAAACGACCGCTACGGAAGAGAAGAAAAGGCCAACTTCCGCGCCACGACGGTTAAAAAGCGACGAAGACATTGTCGCGAATGAGTAGCAGCTCGTCGAGAAGGGGGATGAAAAGCGAAAGAATTGTGAGGGAGGAGGCAAGCGTTTTCTAATTGCATTATAAACTATCAAAGGCCCTGGCCATCATAATTGGCTTCCGGTTGCCGTGCAATTTGCATGGCTGTAGGCGCGCGCTTTGTGCTAATGATCGCATCGGCCATTGTGCACTCTTAGAAATCGAAGGCTACCTCTCTTATATTTGTGTCGCTTGTTTCCGCCCCGGTGAATTGATTCGCGCTAAAGGGTAGCAGCAACGGCGCGGTTCGTGGGCCACGTAGATCAGGCAAATGGAAAAGAGGAAAATATCTAATAGAGAGAGAGGAGAGAGAGAGAGAGAAAGAGAAAGAGAGACAGCGGGGCAGCCGTCGAGCAAAACGATACGCCTCCGTCGTTTAATTAAAGATCGCTTCGAACTATTCGCTTCGAACCATTTGCTTCGAATGATTCCGACGTCAGTGACGATGCATCTGTTAAATTAAGACTCATCGATGATTTGTACATTCAGCGTCCTATTTTACGTTACAAATATATTCCATCCAATGTATATGTATTCCATTGTTCGCAAGCATTTGATTACTTTGATCGATTTTTCGATATTTTACTTCTATTTCTTTCTAGTCAATTTGAAATTCTTTTATGAATTCTATCAATTCACATTATGGGATTCTATTGAATTCATATCGCGATCACGAAGAGAAATAATTCGTTCAATAATTCGTTTCTTTCAGCTAAATCCTATAATTTTACGAAGTTCGAAGAAGATTAAGTATTTTATCGAACCATGACGAGCTATCTCTTTCGAATCGTGGTATTTGTTCTAGATTATATTCTATATTCGATTCGATTGCTCTAAATTATATTCTATAATTTATCTACTATCGTAATATATTTTTTTACTTTGTACTTTTAATCAGACTGAGTTCGTGCAATTATATCGCAGCTCGTTTCCTAATAAATCGACAATATTCGAAATTGAGCAAAAGTGTATAAATTATTGACGAATTAATGATTGAAAGTAGGGCTTACTATCTCTTTCAGAAGCGAATATTTTTTTGAATTAGTATCTTTCTTCGAGATTACACGCGATCGATGTTTCACCACGTAATACTCGCTTAATGTTAACAACGGGTGTAATCAAACTTATCGAGGCACATCGACATTTATCTCTTTATAACGCGGCTAAATCATGAAGTCGATGAGTTTCCATTTCGAAAGTCCGCGCTAATTGCTTTATTTTTTATTCTCCGGATAGTCGATACATTTAACTTGGAACCAGCAGTAATAATACGTACACTTAAAACTGTACTGTGTCACGCACAATGCACGTCGCTTCTTAGCAGCATTTTCATTCGAAATATTCGCATTAATTAAACCACTTTCTACGCCCAGAACCATCCAAATTATCATTCCGTTCCACAAGAAGAACGTAATATCAGTAACATCGACTACGCCATACAATGCTCGAAAGTTTAAATCGAAAGCCACTCTTAATTTCACATTCTTTTTCCGATTTAATATTATTTTCCTTGGCCTTCGTGTGTTTACGAAATCTGTTAGAGAAATTTAACAACCGAAAGGAACAGCTACGATCTGATATTACAACATATTTTGTAATCCCTAATTGAACAAACGTCGAATAAAATGTGTAATGGGGTCATAGAAATATAAAAAAAAGTATAATCAAAGTACAGAGAAATACAAAGTATAGAATGAAATATAAAATAGTACGTAATGTAGTATGTAATTTACTATGAAAATTTACAGTTAACATGGAGTATGGGATATATGAAACCAAATTATAGAAAATATCGAATACAAAGCATATAGAGTAAAACTATAGAAAATACCAAATATATAGTTGTACAAATAAAATTATAGAGAATGTAAAATATGAAATATGGAATACCAAATATAAAATATGCATTTTGTATTGTAGCATACAGAATCTATTACTATACTCAAATATCAAGCACGAAATAAAATTGCGTTGTAAGTTCCTGCTTGAAATTTGATCGATGATTCCATACTATCAGATTTACATCGAAATAGTATCGCTGGAAAAGCAAGTATTAATTCGAGGACGTCACTTTTACGCATTACGGGGCATTCGTTAGCGCCGCTTTTGTTGTCGTCAACAAAGTCGCTACGATAATTCAGGACGAATTTAAAGGGTAGAAGATTAGTACGCGATCACGGGTGCTTATTAGCGCGCAGTCGTAATGCATAATTGTCCCGCTTGGCTGAAACAATGACGCGAACGAGATTCTCGCAGGCTTGTTCCTCTGCACGCTTTGGCACGAATCTTAGCAACAATAAGACGGCAGTTCAAATAGAATTTAAACGACGGGAACAAAGTGGATGTTGACTTGATGCGCCGAATAAAACGACAAGCCGCCGGTAAAAGGGTCCTCCGACTATTTACGTCGTTTCATCAACATTCTGTCAACACACCGCGTAACGAGCTACGAATTTTATGTTTGTGAGTGTTGGATTAATTTTCTTTTCTTTGAAACAGTCAACCATTCGATTTATAACATAACAAAAGTTATATTATTTCGATAATTCCATTTTTGTAATAGCAACGGCGAACAGTGTTTCCAAACATCTCTTCATTTAGAATCACGTAAAAGCTGACGGTTTCTTGCTATTGTTAAGTCATATAGGTCTTTATTGGAACAATAAATATTATTTTAATCGTATTCTTGGTTAGAAATTGCACGCGTCGTACATGGAAATTATCGCTACCCCCCGAATAGTTGTTTTCTTGATATTAAATAATCAAATAACGCTTCTATGTTCAATATTTTCTACGTCGATCGAAAATTCAAGTGATAAGACATTCACAAAGAAATTGTCGTAGTCTGTGGCTATATTATTTACTGGCAAAATAGAAACGTTGAAGCCTCGAAAGAGTGCACCCGATTATCTTTGGAATAATGCAACTAGTTTGGAAGTTCAGCGCGTTCATTCACTCTTAATCGAGAATGATCAGCGGCAACGCGCTTTTTTTTTTATGCAAGTTGGACTTTTTGGTGGATCGAGAAAGTCTTTATGGCAGCGCTTTATTATCGTATGGACGTAACAAGGGAGCCCGAGAGAAAGCGAACGAACGGGCCAGTTGGTCCGGTCTTGGTCCGCTGATTTTACGGTGTCCACGGTTGCTACGGTTTTACTTCCGACCGAGCTAGATTTTTCGTGCCTCTGCACGATCGATACTTTACGTGCTAAACGTGTCGAGAATGCCACGTTATGTAATTTCCGCGCGTTTTCCTTTTCGTCGTGTATCGGATTCGATCGTTTTACCAGCCTGAAGTTGAAGTAGCAAGGGGACCATGGTGATACGTATCGTATATTTTCTCGTGTTGCTTAAAACGAATCTGCCGGCAATCGCCTTAAA